TTTTCGTGTCATATACACTTTAAGTATTATTATCTATTACAATACTGTATTTACACATCTGAAGTCACTCATTGCCATTTTATCATTTGGTGTAACAGCTCTGGAGTGTTCTTCAAAGCCAATAAATACCTTCATAAAAGTATCAATATAATCTGAAAAGCGTTTAAGAAATAAAAACAAATAAAATAAAGTAAAATGTTACCAAGTCAGGAAAATTACAATATTAGGCAACAACTAACAGACACGTTAGTAAAGTTCCAAAAAAGTGAAGAGAGGCATTCTTATGAACTTCTATTACATGTACCTGACAACATTTCTCCATGCATATTTGAACTGCTTTAAAGTGCAGACATTCCCCAACATTCTGTGCAATAAGCCAATCATGTCCTCTACATCATCTGTAGAGCCAGCTCTAGGGTGCTCCTCATACCCAAGAAGTCCATTCTGGCGTCTTCTGTACTCCAAATGTTCAATATTGGTGGTAACAACTATGACTGTTTCCCTTGAAAAGCCACAAATGCCTTGAACAGGTCTAAATTAAAACAAGAATGACTAACAAACACCTTGTTGGCTTGCTTCAGCAGTCAGGTCCATTCTTGGATACTTCCATAGTTAGGTGTAAGTTCTAATAGCATGTAACATATTCCTTAGTATTTGGTGGTAGTCGGTGGTAAAGCAAAAGAATATACATAAATAAACAAAGCCACTAATTTGGAAATGTACTGGGATTTGGTCACTTTTTATGACATCTTTAAATGCAATTGAGGCTAAGGCTGAGCAAAACAGAAATTGAAACCATAAAGATTAATAATCTTGATTTTATGAACTAATAGTTTACTTACCTATTATTTTCAATTGTTGAAAAGTCATAGTTGTTCACATGCCAAGGCATCCACTCATCAAGCACCATGTTCATCATTACATAGTTTTTCTTGCAACACTGAAGTTGAGAAAGCCCGCAGCCATCAGCAGCTTCATACCATCCAGCAACTGCACGTACGTACTTTGCCTCTGTTTTGTAACCATTGTCATGCAAGAAGTTAGCAACCAAGAAGGATAACATTCTCTCAGCATCTTGGACTGACCGCTTACGCTCTCCAATTTCCGACAAAAATATCTAGCTCGTTGTTACCCTTTTATGGGCGGCCTAATCCTGTGATTAAATTTAACAACGCTATAAAACGATAATTCCTTTCTTTGGTATCGTCACAAGTTTGTTATTTAATCAACTGTTTTGGTATTTTTAATTGAAATTTAGATTTCAGAATTATATGCAAAAAAAGAAAGGTAGAATGCGCAGAATCCCCTTATTTGGCCTTTACTTATCAAATTAAAAGCCAGATACCTTAACCACTCTTCATGTCTTACTTTGACAGCTGCAATTTTCGACAAGACCGTTCAACAAATTATTTATGGTTGCTTTCTTCTGGACTTTATCGTAGAAATGTCTAGCTCTTGAAATTTGCAAACATCCTGCAGCATCTGAATCGAGAACTTTTCAAATTTATAGTTAGTGGCCATGTCGCAAATGTTTTATGCATCAAACATAATAGGGTGGCAAATAGCAAATTCATACATGACGTCATCGGCCAAGTCTTCGATTTCTTTTTCAATTTCTCCTATCGCAGTGACGTCTTTGATGTCGTCGTCGTCGTTCTCCTCCTTCTCCTCTCCCTCTATGTCCTGCAGGTCTTTATCCGTTCGAAGAGTTTTCTTTTTGGCCAAGCATGAGAAAAAGCTGCTGATCTGTTGGGGAGTGAAGTAGTCTGTTTTTTTAAAAAGCATAGAACCACTTAAGTTTCTAGCCTTCCTCATTGCCTGGGAGACACTATTTTTATCTGTTTTGATTCCTGTTTGTTCACCAACTACAAAGAATTTAGTTAGATAGTTTCTTTGCTCATTAGCGCATCTTTTCCTTTTGGAACCAGAGGATTTCAACACCCAGCCCATTGGTAATTGGCTGCAGTCTGGGGGATCTTGAAATCTTGGGATGGATTTTCCGTCAGTGCGTCACTCCCATGTTTCAGCTTTGTAGCATAAGACACCATGGCTTTGTCAAAGAGGGTTTCGTGTTCTAAAACGTATTTATGTTCACCAAAATCAAGATGACGTTGAAGAGATGAGAATCTCGGAAAAGTTTTAATGCATCCCTCTTCAACACACGAAAACAAGTTTACAAGTCCAGTTGTTTCTATATGATTTCTAAACTCTCGTCGTTAGTGTTTGTAAGGGTGCTGTTTGTTTTGAGATATTCTTCTTGTGTAATGTTTGACACCAGGTCGTCCAAAGTGGCATGTGTCACGTTCATTTCTGTTTGAGCTTGCGAAAGACCCATCCCAGTTTTGTAGCTTTGTGAGCTTCCAAGGAGGTTTGTAGACGGGTACGTTTCTTTCGTCGTTCTTTTCGTGATCGTTTGTATTCTCTGCTACTTTTCCTTAATCGGTCAAGTTTTTTCTTCCTTTCCATCTTTCCTCCTGGCAGGTCGTTGTGTCTGTAGTTCTCAGGGTTGGAATGAAACCTGCACCACTGTTCGCACTTGCTGTGGTCTCCAAACGCATGGGGTACAATGCTACACATATTTGCAAGAAGTAACTTGGGATCGCTTTTATTCTGGCTGATGCAGTAACCAAAGCACTTTTTGATATATTGGATCACGTTCGATGTCAGTTCTTTCACTTTGCTTTTAGATGAGTATAGCCTTGAACCAAGTGTTCGACATGCGTGGTTTTCAAATTACTTTCAGTGGAGCTGTCTTCAACGCCAACATAAGTTGAGTATCTAACTCCACCCTTTTCAGCATCTGTGAAGAGCTGCACCGCAGCATTCCCCTCCATGCTCTTTGAAGAGCCCTCATGGTTCTTCCTGCAATGGTGCTCTGGTGCCTTGGCTGTTTACCAAGACAGGAAGAATTTTGTCATATAAGACAAAGGGTGTTGCTCATAGCGTAAGCTATAACCTTCTTTGTTTGCAGACCTATTACAGCACCCAAGCCAGACGAGGCATTGTATGCTTTCGTTCACTTTCTCCAGCCCATGTCATAACTAGCAGCAATATTACCTGGTTGACGATGTTGTATTGTCTTTGTTTGTAAGAATATTTTCAAGGTTAGTGTGCTCAACACATTTTTTTTAGCTACGCTTTCAATCTTGGTTCCGGCCTCTCTCTCTCTCTTTCAAATTTTTGTCAGTTAGCGTAGGTAGCCCCATTGTATTCAGTAGACTCTCATAATGAGTATGACCAACACCTGAATGTAGTATAGCAATACCTATAAAAAAAAAGACAATTTACATAAATATTTGTTTCACATTGATGTATCTATGAAATATATATTACACCGTTTCTGTGACCAATTGCATATACAAATATTCTATATCATATTTTAAAGGCTTAAAAATATGTATCTTTTCCTGTCCTTGAGTTAACGTCAACATTACTTTTATCTAAATTGGGCTCTCTGTGATCACTTTTCATACTAGCTTGGACTAGCAGCATACATGTATCCCCCATGTTTCTTGTTAACTGTCGCCATTGCTACCGCTGGAGTTTTGGTTTCAAGTTCTTGTTTTAATTCTGCCATCACGCTTGTCTTGGTTGCTTTATAAGGCTTTGCTTTAGATTTTGAGTTGCCGTGGGTTTGTACTATCAAACGATGTTCCTGACAATCAAACCGATATTGTACAAGAGCATACGAATGGAGAAGGTCGTTTAATCGATTGACTGGGTCTTGACACGTGGGGTAATTTTTTTGTTCCTTCCAGGAGAATCAAGGTTACATCTTCGCGAGAAACCTCTGGTCATGACCGTTGAGAACCTCACTTTCATGCCATCAACTTATGATCGTCGAATCTGATTGGATGGCTATATTATATTTTATGTTGGTGGCACTACTGAGATTTTATTATATACCACTTATTAACCGAGAGGTGAGGTCATTACAGGGAAATCTCAGACCGAGGTCTTGACAGTACAAAAAAGACCGAGGTTTGAGATTTCCCTGTAATGACCGAACGGACGAGGTTAATAAGTTATTTATTATATGACCTTTTTTAGTGCTGTATTTTAAATAAATAATATACCTAACTATGAACACCGGAAGTAATTTTCAACATCCGCTTGCGCACGCAAGGTCAAAGTTGAGGTCGTGTTCACTGAGCCAAGCGATCCTGGCGAATTTATTGAAATTCACAGAGACGGTTTTGTTCAAAGCGAGAACATTTYTGTCTTTATTATGGCAGGATCTAGRAAAATGCGAAYACTTTAATTTCACAAAACACAGATACCTGTGTTTACAAGTGTTTGAACTCTTAAAAACTCAAAAATTTAGAAGAAAAATAGACCCAAATTGTCAATGAATTTTGAACACGTGCGGAGAACTTGCAGTGATTTCAGTGAAGTGTTATTCGTCGTCGCTCTCAATAACATAACGTCGCTTTGCACCTTGTTGGATTAACTTAACTGGGCCATTGAAGATCTGGAACTGACATTGAGAGATACTGCTGATATTCGCTCCAGGAAAAACACCATTTAAAGCTGCTGGGTCGCTTGAATTATTCACAGCGAGCGAATTCGTCGTGTTTTGGAAACTCAGGCTGCTGTGTGACTGCTGTGAACTTGTTATTAACTGGCCACTGCTATTGTCTGGAGGAGCAGTTATCTGTTTGGAATTTTGCGAGTGACTTGAAGAACTCAAAATGTACGACATTTGTCGCTGATGGTGCTCATTTGCTGACTTGTGTGACTGGAGGCTTTGAAGACTTCTGTGACCGCTTAATTGAGCCACAAAAGTCTCTGGGGTATTTGCATCTAGCAATCGGCCAATGCCAGTCTTCCTGACGCTGTGATTTGTGACTTTTGCTCCTTTTCTTTGGAGATTGGCTTCGTCTGCGGCAGTTTTCAAGAATTTACCGATTTCATTCTTGCCTTGGGGCGCCTTCATATACCACATTTGAGGATTTATTCGGTGGTCGCCGTGTCGTACAGCAAGAAAGAATGGAGCATCTGGCTTGTTCATTTCTTCGGGTCGATGGCGTCTGAACAGCTTATAAAACTGAATAGGACATCTCTCCATGTTTGTGGCGTATGCTTTTGGTGAGAAAGACCATTTTCTTTGCCGTTACGTGTCTTGGTGCCCCGCTCATTCAGCCAAACAAGCATTTCGCGGCCATCTTGGAGAGGATCTGTCTGTGAGAAGACGTCTCCCCAGCACAATTTACGGCTCTCGTCGCGGGCTCTAAACCCAAAATGCAGGGAGAGAATCCACCACATGGTTCTCTGAAGGACTACGGGATTTTCTGCACCAAAAGCGCCATTCTGATACAGCTTGTCTTCTTCTTCTTCTTTGGTCAACGAACGAGTCGCGTTAGGACGGTTCCCTTTGCCTTGTTCAACAAGGTTTTTACGCTTGGCTTCCAATACTTTTCTAGATAAAGCAAACTCATCGTCCTTGAGGATGTTCATCTTTGACCTGGAATCTGACAGAAACCTTTGGATGCTTCTCTGCAGCCCAGTCAAACTACTTGGCTCGTATTCCTCGCCAGTAACTTTCCTGATGTTTTTGAAGAACTTTCCAAGGAGGTGGTCAAGCTCTTTTGGTGCCAAGTCCAAAATCTGAACATTTGTCTTGTTTATCTCCCCAAGAAAACGGTAAAAACACTTCATATCACTTGCCGTTTTTTTCACAGTGTTCTCATTTTTCTGTTCTTGCACAAACTTTAGCAAATCTTCTTTGACTGTTATTGATACTGTCTTCTGCGGTATTGGTTACTTCAGCCATGTTGTTTTGCTCACTTTTTGCCTCTTCTTCCTCTGGATAGTAAAATTCGCTTTCGCTGTGGCTCTCTTCGTCGCTCATTGTACACTGAGAAGTATCTCTAAGCTATACAATAATTTTTTTTCAGTTATTGAAAAGATAAATGTATTTTGTTTATG